CTTATCTTGGGAAAGGTTAAAGGGACTATTGACCAAGGAATTCGCCGACGAGGGCACGGCTATAGAGGCCATGAGAGCCCTCCTAAAACTGACACAGCTGCGGGACGAAACCCCGGGAGAATTGGGGGCCCGAGCAGGGAAGCTGTCATCATTGGCCTTCCCGGAAGTGGTCAGAGACAATGCGGTTATGCAGGCCCAACTAGCGGACCTGTATGTAGAGGCGCTAAGTGACGAGCGTGTTCATCACAACGTGCTAAAAGAGGGACCGCTGAGACTGTCGGCAGCAATAGAGCTGGCCAAGGAGAGCCAGGGCGTATGGGAAAAGGTGAAGAGGTGTGGAAGGAAACAGATACTAAGTCAGGAGGCCGGAAGAAGAGAGGTAAGCGGAAGATCCCCCGCGTGGAATCAGAAGGTTAAATTAGAAATAGATCAGGCTGAAGTATGGGAAGAAGACCCCAATAGAAAGGCATGGTCGACCAGGCATGGCTTTTATAAGCCCACGCCGGGTCGATACGGGCTGGTCTGCTGGACCTGTGGGTATAAGGACCACAGGGCGGCGGAATGTCCGACAAGGTGGGGGTTGCCCCCAGACTTCGATCGTGACAGGTGCACCAGGTGTGGTAAGAAAGGACACCTGGCCAAGGGTTTTAAAAGATTCAAATCAATCAAACACCCCTCGCTAAGGAGAAACGCTGTTACATAAGCTGGAATGGCCAATCAAAATACGAGAATTCAAAAAAATTTGACAACGATCTAAGGTTATAATAATTATTTAATGCTCTAATGTTGGAGTTTAACTTAAAATAGAATTTATTCTAACTAATAAATATTAAATTATATGATAAAATTTGAAATTAAGAATTACCCATTTTAAAATTTAAATTTAATCTATATTAAGTTTAAAATTATAAAATTACTGAGGAAAAAAGAAAAATACATATGTTATTCAATCTTATTAACGAAAATATGCTAATAAGATATTATTCGAGTTTGCGAACCCTTCGTAGCTAAGTTGCTTTTAATGGAGACGTACATATACATTCATACATTCATATATATATATATATATATATATATATATATATATATATATATATATATATATATATATATATATATATATGTGTGTGTGTGTGTGTGTGTGTGTGTGTGTATGTTTGTGTCTGTGTGTGTACGTATCTATGTATGTGTGTGTGCGTATTTAGGCAGTAAATTCTCTTTTAGATATATATGATTAGATAAATTACAAATCAAATCCGTTCATACTCACGAATAATCTTCCGTGTATTGCGATTAAATGATGTGAGAAATGTGCTATAACTATGAAGATCGATTTTTTTTTTTTTCATTTCCCAAGTACTTTCGATCTTCTTCCGAGATTATCTTCAGGGGTGTACATAGTAATAAAAACTGTGTGTTGTTCACGGGTGCAAATAGTAATACAAAACGGTTTATTCGATATCCATTACTGTAATTTTTCTTTTTGCTTTCAAATAAAGTATGCTATATTTATGGGATAAAGTGCTCAATATCAGAGATAGCGCGTATGTATATATAAAAGTGAACATTGAAGTCAACACTCAGAGGCGACAGATTCATGCTAAACGCAATCATCAGTGGCCTGATTGCGTTTAGTATGAAACATTCTGCCGCCTCTGAATGTTGTCTTCAATATTATATATATATATATATATATATATATATATATATATATATATATATATATATATATATATATATATATTGTGTGTATTTAGGCATCTTTTCATTCATACACGTTTCATTAAATAATATAGACAAGTGTTGTCTATTTATTTTATGTAAATTTTTTTCGTAACATCTGATAAGTTTAATAACATTATCGTTGAACGAAGAAAAAAATTCACAATATTGATCCATATTTTTTTATTTAATTTCGGCTTACATAAGCCATCATCAAAGATGTCAATTACAACATAATATAAGGACAAGACAGTGATGATAGTCTGTCATTGTTTACATAGATGATTTCTAAGCAACGGTAAACACGTGCATATAAGAAAGCTTGTCATGATTACCGGTAATGAGGATTTGAAGCTATAAGACAGGTATATACCTGCCGTCCAGTATGCACTATCGTATGTTTTAATCTACGCAGAAATCTGACTTAACATTATTTTAAAATTAATGCTCCATCCTGGTTTGTGATGCATATGCAACGCTTAGTAAGGACATCCGTCTGGATTAATGTTAAGTTTGAATGCAATTCAGTGGTAATATGTACTCTAATATCTCTTTTATTACATTCTAAACAACATATATTTGGTACATCTCGATCTCTGATGAATTTGTCCTGATTAGTCAGGTTTTCAAGATTAAATACGCTATTACGTTGGTAAAATTGTTGATATTATGGGTGACTATTAAGTACAAGGAAAAAAAAACATGTTTTTTCGATTTCTTCCTTCAAAATTATTTAAGTTTGTTTTGTTTTGTTTTGTTTTATGGCCTACCAACACCTCAATGAGTTATTTTCATGCCAACAAGATTTTTATTGCTGGCAATATTTTTTCCAAAAATGTATTGTTGGTAATTTTTTTTTTTTAAATGTATTGGAAGTAAGAATGTATTGCTGGTAATAATTTTTTTCTTCAAAAATGTATTGCTGATAATAGTTTTTTTTCTTAAAAATGTTTGGCTGGTAATAATTTTTTCTTCAAAAATCTATTGCTAGTAATAGTTTTTTCTTCAAAATCTATTGCAGGTAATAATTTTTTTCTTCAAAATCTATTGCTGGTAATAATTTTTTCTTCAAAATCTATTGCTGGTAATAAATTTTCCAAAAATTTATTGCTGGTATTTTTATAGTTTCATTGTTTTTTTTACCCCCTTTTGTGGAGTTAACTATTTGCCCGTAGCTGAGACTCTGACAGGTGTTACAAACCCGAGTCAGGGTGAACCAACCAACACAAGCAATTAAAAGGTGGCTCTACTCTCCTCAAAACCTTATGATGTTGTTTATCATCTTAGCCATGGCGGAAAATTATTTAGAGAGGCTCTAATGCATCGGATCGTCTAATAAAAAGCATAATACAGTAGCTCTTTCCCTTATTTTTCCGACTAACCTTTCCAAATTTGACATCGTATTTATTTATCTCCTCAAACAGAAAATCAGCTTACTCCGTAAAGCTGTTTAATACTTAGTGTGGCAATAAATAAGAAAGAATTACAATTATTTTGTTTCTATAATTATCCATCATTTACTATAATAGCATTTGCATACGTACTTTATTCATATAACAAGTTTAGATTACTGTGGCTCCAATCACTGCTAATAGACATTTTCCCTATCATAGAATAGGTAAGGCTTCTGTGACTCAGTTCGTGTTTTCCATTAATCTTCTCTGCAGAGTCATTCCAAATCGTTCAGATTCGATGGCTTCTGTTTGAGAATGGAAATTTCCAATTTATGTCGCAAATTTTTAATTGGATTAACTTGAGGTAATTGAGAACCCGATTCCGTTACTGTAAATTTTATCGTTTACTTCAGCTGTTCGATGGGGCTTCTCAAAATGGGTTTTGGGTCGTTGATTTGGTAAAAAGATGCATCCCCTAACAACACCAAGCTGGATAACAGAGGAAGAAAAATAAAAGACTTTTCCAAAGACTGACACATTTAGAATTTAGCAAATACATTGTCTACACAATCCTGATGATTTCTCTCGATACATCTTGCACTAAAAAATAAAATAAAACCCATAAAATAATGTGTGAAAAAAGATGCTTCATACTTGTAGTAGCATTTAGGGCATCTCGCGGCGGTGTAATGGTTAACAAGCTTGTCTGGCTAGAAAAATTGCAACTGAGTAGTGAGTTCGATCCTCATTAAGTGCTCCCTACTTTCGGCCTTGTGCCACATCTAAGCTACGCTTGGAAAATCACTACTTTTATTAGCATTTTTACCATACTGCTTCGTCGATGTGGTGTAATGGCGAGCAAACTTGATAAATTACGACTAATTAGTGAGTTCGATCCTCACTGGGTGTCCCATACTTTCGACCTTATGTCACGTCTAAGCTACGCTTAAAAATCATCGATCCCTTCGACGTGTTGTAATGAGTAGCACGGTAGCTTCGCTAGATTAATTACGACTGGGTAGTGAGTTCGTTCCTCACTGGGTGTCCCATAATTTCGGACTTGCGCCACACTTGATCTACGCTTAGAAAATAATTTGTTCACTTCGAGGTGGGGTAATGATAAACAAGTTTGTCTCGCTAGATTAAATACGACTGAGCAGTGAGTTCGATCCTCACTGGTGCTCCCTACTTTCGGCCTTGTGCCACATCTAAACTACGCTTAGAATGCCATAGGGCACTTCGACGTTGTGTAATGGTTAGCTAGCTTGTCTCGCTAGATCAATTACCACTGAACAGTGAGTTCGTTCCTCACTAGGTGCCACATACTTTCGACTGTATGCATCGTCTAAGCTTTGCTGAGAAAATCACTTGGGCATTTCGACATAGCGTAATGGTTAGGAAGTTTGTGCTCACTTGTTCGACCTTGTGCCACATCTAACCTACGTTCATTATCACCATAGAGTATTTGTCTTATATTTTCCTCTCAAACCGTAATGTTAATGCTTATATCCAAAAACTAATTTCTTTTTTTTTTTTTTTGACAAGAACCTGTCTTACATCTTTATCAAACTACAATTCATCAGTACCTCGGATATTGCTACCACATTCAGATTGATTGATGAATTTTTTTTATGTCTTATCAACCCATTGCAGGTTATTTAAAGGCAGAAAATATGTTTACCTTGTAAGTTTTTTTTTCAGATAATAACGATTTAGTGATATTAATCTTACTAATTAACCCATAGCTGGGGGAGAAGATGTATATTTATACCCCCCCCCCCCCCAGGGTAATTGTGCGTGAATATAACGAGCGAACGGGAATTGCAAATCTGCTCTCTGATTAAAAAATTGCGAGCCATTATCCATTTGACCACACAAAAAATT